CCCTCCTAATATTTGGCTCCCCCCGCCGTCCTCTTCTTTATGGCCCCCTCTCAATAAGCATTGTTGTCGCCGTCGCCGCCGTCGCCCAGGTTGGCCAACCAATCGCTGGAAATGCATTGGACTTCCAAAAGGGCCGAAACACGTTTGACCCGTGGACGATCTTTGGGAACCCATGGGACTTCCAAGGGGATCGAACCATGCTTGACCCGTGGACCTAATCGCAGTCGTAATCGTAGTCGTTGTCGTCGTCTTTCGTCGCTTTCGCAGTCGTTGCCGCCGTCCACGTCGTCGTCGTCTGCCGCCGTCGTCTGCGTCGCGGTCTTGATCGGTTGCCATCGTCATTGAACGCCGTCGCCATTCCCGTCCGCCTCCGCCGGCGCGCCAGGTACCGACTGAAGTACATTGAGATGATAGGCGGGGCCCGTGCGCTGCGACCACTGAGGTCCGTGAGCGGCACCTCTAAAAGGCACCGTGGTTCGTGGTGCTCTCTTGACCCCCGCTGAGGCGTTCCGACTGCGAATCTCAACTGGACTCCCAAGACTCGCCCGCAGGCCGAAATCAGCTCCGACGGAAGCCAACGCGATGGATAGGTCTTTGCGCATTTGCGTTTGTTCTTGTCGTTGGTTTGTCGCCATGCGACCTTTCTTGAACATGATGCAAGGTGGCCAAACCCAGAGGGATCCAGGACACGCCGAGGAAGACCAAGACCGCTCGAAATAGCGCCCAAACCCACGGCTTCATCACACCGCAAGCGACCTCAATCTCCAGGACAACCCAAGACTGCCCCAGACGACTCCCACATGCATCCCAAAATTGTGATCACCCCCCGCGCCAGGACATGGACAAATTGAGCGGAACTGGTGAATGGTGCCGTTCTTCTTCGTCCACATTTCAAGAGCAGCCAGCTCCCTTCTTCCAAATCCCCTAGCTTTGCTTGTGGCCCAACGTTCAAGGGGCATCAATGTTGTAATCTCGAATTGCTTGCGAACCGCCATGTGTTTCGCTGGCGCATGCCCGCTCCGCTATGCAGACCACGATGCGATCTCTAGCTCCCGCACGGCGCGCCGAAGGTTAAGATAGGCCACTGCCGCCCCGCCGCCCCTTGTGAAGGCCCATCCTACACGATGTGGGGGATCATTCTCCAATCTTCCAGTCGGGATTCGAGGACAGTTTCGCTTTGCGGACAGATTCTTTGGGGCCCTCGTTGGGCCCCAACGAATATACGAGGGGTCGGCTCTCGCAAGAAGGACCCCCTTGAAGATGACGGTTGGTTGGGCCAGGTTTGGCTTCGCGCGGGATCTTGGAATCGATTTGACACGTTTCAATGGTCGTTTTGGGTTCCATTTGCGTCCTCAGTTGGGTGCATCCGAAGTATAGGGAATGCCGATAGGGATCCTGAGTGGGGCCTCTTTAGGGCTTTCTCAGATCTGAAGACCGACATATTCGGAACATGATCGCCCTGTGGGGCTCCCATTTTGTGGCTGCATTGGGGAATTTCCGCGCGATTCTTGGGTTGCCTGGAGGCCCTCGCTATTAGGCTGTAGCTTTGGAGATAACTGCGTCGGTTCTGGACCTTCGGAAAACCTGAAAGCGCGAGAAGGCGGAACACTTGGGCAAACCGAAGGAACATGCATGCTGTTTATCTTCTTTGGGTTTGTTGATCTTCTTTGGGCTTAGCTGCCTCTTTTTGCTGCGCGGGGCCATCTCGGGAATCTTCGGTCGATCTTTGGTGGGCGTCTTGGGGCTCTGGGGCCATGTTGAAATTCTCCGGGTGCATTTCTGGCGCGCGTGGGCACGAGAAATTGACGCGGGGGACTTAGGACTGCAGTGCAGGGGGTCTGGCACCGTGCGGCCCAAGGAATGTTCCTGGTTGGCGCGTTTTGCGCCCCGTCGGCTCATCCTCGTCATGTTCTTCTTGCCCTGCCCTTTCTGCTCCTGCTCCTCCTCCTCTGCCCGGTTCTTCCTCCCCCTGCTCTCCTTCCCCTTCTTCCCATCCGCATCCTCCTCTTCCTCCTCGCCCTCCTCAAATCCCCGCTTGTCGTACTTGATGCGACGCGGGTGAGAATATGATCCGCCTCTGCAGCCATCCGAGACTGCCCTCTAGTTTCCAGACCCGCAAGCGATGTCGCCGCCGCCGCCGCTCCGCCCAAGAAGAGCCGCGCTTTGATGCCGAAGAGGAGGAGGAAGAAGAGAGGAAGAGGTGGAACGCGATGAAGAGGTGGACCCAATCGAAATCCAAGCTGACTCCAGCGAAGATTCTTCGAGCTCGTCGGAAGCGACGCCAAGACACGGGGATGGGGCAAACGCGTCGCCACCCCGCACCAAATGTTCGGGCCCATCTTTTAATTCGAGCTCCCAGGGGCCCATGGTTTTAGTTTGAGGCCCCAGGGCCCATATTTTTCATTTGAGGCTCGCGGGAAGAATAGAAACGAACGCGCGAACCCCAGGAGGAGGCAGAGTTCAGCCAAGCAGCAGAGATCGAGCGACGGAGGCGCGAAGAACTTTTTGGGGACGCGACCTCGGCGCCTCGCCTCTCCTCCGCCCATTCGCCCCCTTGACGCCCCGCTCGATCTTCTTCTTCTACCTATGCGCGTTTTCTCTCCCTTTCCCTCTCTCTCTCTCTCTCTCTCTCTCTCTCTCTCTCTCTCTCTCTCTCTTTTGTCCTCTTTCTGTCTCCCCCTCTCTCTCTCTCTTTCTCTCTCTCTCTCTCGGTCATCGCTCGCGCCTTCATTCACTCACTCGCCCACTCATTCACTCATTTTCTCGCGCGCTCACTCACTCTCTCATAATATTTCTCTTTCTCTGTCTCTTTCCCTCTCTCTCTCTCTCGATCGCGTCCCCTTTAGTTCTACGCGGACAGGCGCCGGGATCCCGTCCCAAGCTAGAGGCTTCGTTCAAGCAGTGGCGCACTGTCGGTAGTGCCAAAGCGTTCTTCGGCTCCACCGCCAAAGGCGGTCACGCGATTTCATATAGGTTCTGACCCAACTCAAGGTTCGAAGCATCGCAAGCAGCGCATATGCGAGGAGCGCAGGCTCAGGCGGATTGAGCGCCAGCTCTAGAGAGAAAGAATCGCAGGAGCCTGTCATTCTGCTCCTCATGCTTCCTCATACTGCTTCCTCATGCTGCTCTTGCTGCTGTCGTCGTGGTCGCCATGTTGCCATGTCCCAGGCTCTTGCCCCCCCCGTTGTATAATAACCCCCCTTCCGCGGCTGGTGCAGTATAGATGTGGTCTGTGGGGTGGTGCGGTAATGGTGCTATCGGTTTGGTAATATGTGTGGTGGTGCGGGTGCTGCGGTGACGGAGTTCCTGTTTAGGTAATTGGTTTGCTGCTCGGTATTATGATTAAGCGTTCGGTTGTTCAGCATCCATGTGAATGACATGAATCACGGAGTGCGAGGGTTATGGCCAGAAGTGCGGGGCTGAACATATGGTTGCGGTTGGGTCTGTTACGTTTTCGAGATTGCAGCGGCTAGGCCGCAAGTATGAATTGAAGAACCGGTTTCGGCTCGGATCGTAAATGACATTAGAGGGGACGATGCAATTCTATAGCACGTTCCGCGTGGCATCTGGAAACTCATGAAATTACAAAGAAATCTGTACAATTCAAGAAAACCTGAAAAACCCTGAAGAACCAAGTGCAACCTCAACTAATTCAAACGCAAAAACCGGACCTTCCACGCCAACCGCGCGGATAGTATGGAAGGTGGAGGCCCTGGGCTCCTCCTCCTCCTCCTCCTCCTCGAATCCTCCTCCCCCTCCTCCTCCTCCTTCTCCTCCTCCTCCTCCTCCTCCTCCCCCTCCTCCTCCTTCTCCTCCTCCTCCCTCTTCCTCCTCTCCTCCTCCTCCTCCTCCTCCTCCTCCTCCTCTTCCTCCTCCTCCTCCTCCTCCTCCTCCTCCTCCTCCTCCTAAGAGGTTGACACCAACACCAAGATCGGCGGTGTGCCTCCACCGAGGGAAAGAGATCCCGACCTCGGTGGTGGTGGTCAGATTCTGGCTTCCAAGGTTCAGGAGGGAGAGAAACACACAGACACAATGAATCGTCGATTCCCCAGGAAATATAAGAAAATATGGGAAGTGGGGTGAAAAACAAAAAAAAAGAAAATATTATAAAACTATGGGGAATACTTTGATTTGTGTGTGTGTTTTTGTGTGTCCCAGGGCCCCTTCATAGAGGTGGACACCAACACCAAGATCGGCGGTGTGCCTCCACCGAGGGAAGAAGATCCCGACCTCGGTGGTGGTGGTAAGATTCTGGCTTCCAAGGTGGCCGAAATATTACCACCAGCACCGAAATTTAGGATCATCCTCACCCTGTGGGGGCAACCCCCTGTGCTAATTTCCAGGCCCCCAAGAAGGCCCAGCTTTTATGTCGCCGTTTGGGGTATGTGGGGGGGGGCCCTCGCCTGGCATGGGGGCTGTCAGCGAGAGAACAACTCGGAGGAGAGGGCCCCGGGTTTTTTTTCCCGCCAGTTTGAGACATGTGTCTGCCCCTATGCTTGGCAGCACCTTACCTCCAGGACAATCTCAACGATTGTCGCAGTTTCCGAGGGCACACCCCTGAGATCATCATCGCTCTGGGCTTGCCCATCTCAGGGATAGGGATCAGTTCTGCTTTGGTTATTTGGGGCTCCCGCCGCGGGACGTTCGCAAGGCCTGGGGCCCACAGGGTCATACAGATGCCGCTGCTCGTCCAGGGGAGCCCTCGTCGTCGCCACGGCTGGATTCTCCGCGGAATTCTGGTCGGAACGCCCTCCGGGGTCGGGATCGTCTAGCCTGTCACCATCCCTTGGGCCATGGTATCTCAGCCCCACCAGCCAGCCCACCCCCCCAGGCAGGGATCGGCTCCGCGGCACCCGGGATGGGACTGCATATGTCCCCGCCCAGGGAGCCACTTCGGCCAGCGGGGCCAAGGCCATGCCAGTGGAGGTGGCGATCGGCCTCAACGATGCTCGCAGGAGAGGCCCTCGAGTCGCAGTGTTGGTATTCTTGTTGTCCCCCAGGAGAGGTTGGACCCTGCGGCCGGCGTGTGGGAGCTCCTGGCGCCCATGAGGATCAGGGGTGGGGGGGGGGAAAACACAGACACCAGCAATCGTCGACTCTCCCGGGAGAGAGTGTGGGAAAAGATGCACAGGAAGAGGGGCGGAGGCCGAAGATCCCGAACGCAGACTGGAACACAGAGGGGGAATCCCGGGCTTCGTGTCATACATGTTCGGAGGCAACTCCTGGGAGGTCAAATTCTGCTTTCGCCCTGGTCCGAAATCCGGCTTGATCCAGCTTGATCCGGCTTCACCCCCCTCAGTGCCGCTCAATCCGGCTCAATCTCCCGCTTGGTCCGAGGCCCACTCCGGCGTAATAGCTCCCAAATGGGGCGTCATCCTCCCGAATCTTTCCGACGAAAGCCTCCCAGTAATTGCCTCCTAGTACATCGTGTCTGTGCCCCTGGGCCCTCTTTGGAGGAGCCGGCGCGCCGGCGCCAGTGCCTGTGCCCTGTGGTGTGCCGGCCACGCCGCTGCAGCGCCGGCGGGTGGCCGTCCGCCCGGCGCCGCGTCGTCGGCCGCTGACAGGGGCGCGGGCGTCCAGCGCCAGGGCGGCGTTGACCTCGGCGTGCCCCTGGAGGTGCAGGGCCCGGGGCGCAAAGCCGGTGGCGTGCGGCTGGCCAGTGTTCGCCACCTGCTCCTGGGGATGCCGCCGTGTCGTTGCTCTCTCTCTCTCTCTCTCTCCCTCGCTGTCTCTCTCTCTCTCTGCCTCTCTGCCTCTCTCTATCTTTCTCTCTCGCGCTTTTTGATTTTTGTGTTCTCTCTCATTCTCTCTATTATACAAGTATATACGTAGCACCCCGCAGGGGCGGATAAGAGTGAGGGGGCGGTGGGACCGTCGGCAGTTTGCGGGACTTTGGAGAAGCCCGCCGCAGGAGCCAAAGTTCCACAAATTATACAACGAGGCCGCCGCAGGCGCCGATTTTTTTGTTAAACCCATGTGGATAGGTCGCGGGTGTGTGTATATATATAGATATTCCTATTATTTTTTATTACCCGGCAGCCCCGTCCCCCCCCCCCCCGGACCTCCCCCCCTAAACCGGATCCTTCCCCCAGGAACGCTTCGGACGCCCTTTCGGACGTTTCGGCGGCCCCCTAGACGCCCTTGGAAAAGGTTCGGTGGCCCTTCCGGGCCTCCCAGGGAGCCTCGCTGGGCCTTGCGAGCCGATTGAAGGCGATTAGAGGGGTCGTCGGAGAGGCGCAAGAGAGACCCAAGACAGCGCAAGAGCGCTCCAAGAGGAACCTCGATGGTCTGAAGACGGCCCAAGAGGCCCCCAAGACACCCCAAGAGGCCGTTAAGAGAGCCCCGAAGAAGCCAAAATCGTCACATTCCCTCAGGAATACATTTGTTGTGCATATCCGCTTTTTGGGTCTTCGCAGCGTCCAAGACGGCCCAATGGGCCCCCAATCTCGCCCCAAGACGGCCCGGGAGGCCCCCTAGAGGGGTTGAAGGCGGCCCGAGGGGGCCCCAAGACTGCCCCAGAGAGCCCCGAGACTGCCCACAAGAAGCCCAAGATGCCCCCAGAAGGCTCCCAAGAGAGACCCACGAAAGCCATGGGATACCTCCAAGAACGCCACTGGAGGCCCGCAAGAGGGCCCTAGATGGCTTAAGAAGACCTCTGGAGGGCCCCAGCTCCCCAAGGCGGCCCAGGAAGCCCCCAGGACGGCCCAAGAGTGCCCCAGGACGGCACAAAAGAGCACCAAAAACGACCAGACGGTGTTCTCCTACGAAATACATCAAGCTGACCCGACGATCTTGGTTCCACGTTTGAGGCTCGAGGTTGCAGTAGCTACCCGATCGAGAGAGACAGGCAATGGATCTAGATTCGAAATTCGACGATCGAAGATTTCCTCAGGCATTCGGGAAGCGATCGCAAATCGATGTGTTCGGAGCTACTGTGACTTCTTCGGCGTGTCATGGGAACGCTCCTTACTTCCTCAAAGGACCTTCGCGCGCGAAAGAATCAGCATGATTTCCCCACTCCTGCGCACAAGCGTGCCAGCGCATCGTCCGAAAGCGGTGTCAGCAGGCACCCGGGATATCGGAAAAATGGGCGGGTCGACCGTCCAGGCCTCGAGGTCTTGCCTGCTGAAGAAAGCGATGATTTATTGCTTTGCCAGGGAAGCGTCCGGAACAAGGCGCATGGCGCGAAGCGCCAATGCAGTCTTGTATATATATAACCAGATGATTTGAAAATTATTGATATGGATATTGAGGCCGATTGTGAGATCGATTCTGGGACGATTGTATAGTCGATCGTGAGACCGATAGTGAAGTCAATTCAATGATATCGATCGTGAGATCGCTCGTGCGGGTTATAGGGACATAGATTGTGAGATCGATTGTGATATCGATATTCATATCGACAGAGCGGTGGGTAATGAGATCGATGGTGGGACCGATCGATAAGAATATCGACCAGGAAAAAGAGAAACCGGGAACCCCGCCGCCCACCGAAATCGGCTCGGGACCCGGAATTGGGAACCCGGCAAGCCGGAATTGGGAGAATTGGGAACCTGGGAACCCGGCCGCCCACCGAAGTCGACCCAGAACTTTCGCCAAATCCCAATTTTTGCTAGGACCCTTTCACTGCAAGCACTGATTGGGTAATCTACGTCTCTGTGTCTTTCTCTCTCTCTCTCTCTACATGTACGGGCAACTTTCGCGTGGGATAGGCTCAGGGTGGAAGGCATCGACTCACAATCGCCCTCTGATCGCCGATCAGGCTCCGATAGCCTTCCCCGCCAAGGAACGCGCGGAGGTGCCATCGGGGACCCCTCGCCACGACGTCGGCGACGTGTCGCCGACTCTAGGTCGATGTTCCCCCCCGTGAACTGGTCCCATTGATCGCCGATAGGCCCCGATATAGCCCCCCCACCCCCGCCCAGGAACGCTCGGATGTGCTATCGGGGACCCATATCGCCACTAAATCGGCGAGGTATCGCCAATTCCAAGCCGATGCTACCCCCCTGACTGAACTGGTCCCCTCCCACTTCGAAGAAGAAAAACACGCCACACACATAAACTTTTGGCGCTCCGTGCAGATTTCTTGGATCCGCGCTGGCCCCCCATGGCGGCGCAGATCCAAGAAATCCGCGCAGAGTGCCAAAAGTCTACCCCAAATCCATTATGAAGCGTTCCCCGGGTCCAGTTTATTAAGACGCCTTTTTTGTAACTGGGGGGTCTGGTTTATTAGGGCGTTTTTTTTTGGTTGGAGCTTAAAGGGTCCGGTCTATTAAGGCACCCCGTCGAAGAGAGGGGTCCGGAATCATTGGTCGCATTCGGAGGGGGGTCCGGCTTTTTAGGGGGGTCGATGAATAAGGGATTTGGAGTACTTGTGCAGTTCTTGTTTCTTCCTCTGCCCCCGTCGTTTCCCCTCGTCTCGTAGGGGGCCTCTCTGCTGGCCCTCCCCCGGGAGGTCTTGCCCGGGGCCTTCGCCGCGGGCCTCCTCGTGCGGTTTTCGTCGGGCGCCTCGGGGGGCCGGTCGTCCGGGGGGGGGCGGATGTCCAGGCTGCCCCCCAGGGTCACTCGTGGTCCACTCGTGCACCCCCCCCGCCTCTTCGAGTCAGAGAACTCGGCGGCGGGCGAGGGGGAGGAGGAGGAGGAGGAGGAGGAGGAG